AGATTTATATTATTATTTTATGATATTATATAGATCTATTGTTTAGATTTTATTTTGCTTATATTCTAATGTCTTCTATTTTACTGTAAACAGTTGTGGTCTGAGATGAGAAGACATGAGATCCTAAGAGAAGAATTGCGACAGAGAAGAAAGCAACTTGAAGCTTTAATGGCTGAACATCAAAGGAGGAGAGAGCTCGCAGAAACAATATCTACTGTTGCTGCATCTGTTAAAAGTGAAGGATCAGAAGCTCAGCGTACTCCACAGCAGAGTAGGACTGAAAAGTAAGACTAGGAGTCACTCTGTGTTAGCGGGCGCTTCTGTTTAGCGAGATGTCAGTCTTAGGGCAGTTTTCTGTTTTCATCTGAGCACTGAATGTGATGAAATAACAGAGCAATAAATTAATTCCTTTACTTCTAAAGCGACTATTAGTTGGCAACTTGCCAATTTTATGGGTCTTCCCAGTGTATTTTGTCTCCCCTGCTCCATAAATGGTGAAAAATCACCTAAGGAGAGGAGAATGTGTGGAAAATGCCAAATGCTCAGTCATTTTTCTTCATCTCTACACCATTTGTAACAATAGTAAAGTAACAATTTTCCAAAACAGAGAGTAATTTTATTTAACTGTCCCAGTATCAGAAGAATACTAGTTACATTTTGCATTGGTGAGATAATGTTTAAATTAATTTTGGTGCAGCTTGATTAATTGAAGATACAGACTTGTAATTGTTAACAGGTTGTTTTAATAATTTGTCATAAACTAAAAATACTCCTCCCTTCCCAAATGCCCCCTCTCTTGCCCATCCAATGTTTACTAGGACAATGGCTACCTGGGGAGGTTCTACCCAGTGTGCACTGGATGAAGAGGATGGAGATGAAGATGGTTATCTCTCCGATGGAGTTGGTCAGGCAGAAGAAGAGGAAGAAGACGCGTCAAGTTTGAATGACAGTTTCTCTGTTTACCCCAATAACAACATACCAGAAAATGCATATTTTGTTAAAGAGAACAAGGACAGGTTAGTGGCATTACTTGTTAATCTGATGCATGTCAGAGTGTATTTGGAAGGGGTGGAAGAAGCATTGCATTAACTAAAAGGCATCCTTTTACAGCAAAGTGATCTTTATTTCTGCTGGCTAGGGTGATGTGTGCAGTGGCGCTTTCTTGTCTGAGTCTCTGTAGCTGCAATGTGTATAATTTAATTATGTGTTCTGTTTTCAGTCATATTAACTGTCTGCCATTGAGCTATCCAGTTGTGTTGCAGTAGCTCCTTATCTTCCCATGTTGTTTTAATCAGCTTAAAAGATAACCCACACGAAATTTTTGCCGTGATATAGATCAGTCTCTTCAAAAAAAGTAATTCAGAGAATTAAACTGACACTTTTGCTTTCAAATTGTTGGCTTTTGCAGCTTTGAAAACTATTTCTTATTAGATTTTTTTAATTAACATGAATATTTTTAACTTTTGCTTACCTGATTGATTTCCTTAATAAGCTTTGTGTGACTAAATGAAAATGCAGTGTTAAAAGTAATGTATACCTCTTCAATTGATTTCCTCTGTTTTTGATACCAAAATAATTTTAGTAGATAGTGGCCTTCTAGCCAGGAGCTGGACCTGTTAATTCTTAGTGTATGATGTTGGTGGCTTCTATTTTCATCTGAGTACATATTACATATCAGTAATGGACGATACTAAAAACAAGATCCAGAAACATCCTTAGCAATTCTTTTTTGACAGTGATTGTTAGTTGGGTGGCTTTTATTTTCCATTTGTTTAGGATGAAGTTAGATTGACAAGATCGCATGGGTGATTAGTTGGCACGCTGAAATGGCCTGTGCTGAGTGAGTTGTTGTTGTACAGCTGAAACATAATTTGAATAATGGGAGTACCATTAGAAGAAGTTGTTTGAAATGTCAGGTTTTGTCCTCATTCTTCCTTTTTTTTCCCCACCCAGGTGGAAAAATTGCCGTCCTCTTTCAGCAGATGGGAATTATCGTCCATTGTCTAAGGCCAGGCAACAGCAAAACATAAGTATGCGACGTCAGGAAAACCTTCGGTGGATGTCTGAACTTTCATATGTGGAAGAAAAGGAACAATGGCAAGAGCAGATCAATCAGTTGAAGAAACAGCATGAATTTAGTGTCAGCATTTGTCAAACCTTGATGCAGGATCAGCAGGTAGCTATGAAGAACAGTTATTTTGCTCTTCTTACTTTGTCTTTCCAGCAATAACTTCTGGTTTTGGTAATTTGGTCGCTGTCGTGTATTTTTTTTCCACAGACCCTCTCTTGTCTTCTACAGACTTTGCTTACAGGCCCTTACAGTATGATGCCCAATAATGTTGCATCTTCACAAGTACATCTTATTATGCATCAGTTGAACCAGTGTTACACTCAACTGACTTGGCAGCAGAATAATGTCCAAAGGTTTGTTGGCTGTATTAGTGTTTGACTGTAGAATTTGAAATGATTCAGTAACAGAGAACATAAAAGATTGCAGATAATGGTTAAATATGAGTCTGTTGAACTTCTGAGTTGATTACAAGCTTTTGAAATCATATACAGCGTTTTTGGTTGTTTTTTTCACCACTGCTTTAACGCCTTTGCGATGACTCTTTTTGAGTAATCTTTAGTGAAGAGAACCAAAAGTTGGCACCTCTTCCAAAAATCTGTTGCGGTAGCTTTATTTGGCTTTTTTGGTTTAGACTTGCTTTCCTTGAATATGTTTCTATGTCTGTAGTCTTTGCTACACTATGTGGCGAGATTCTGGATTCTAATGGTTATGGAAAGTTGGTGGAAAAGCTTTTTGTCCTTTCTTAATGTTGTCAGTCAGAATTTATGCTTATGCTCCGTTTGGATGTACTACTTTTACCTTCTGAACAATGATCTTTTTTACAAAAAGATGTAATAGTCATTTTAATTAATTGCATGAAAGTTCAAGCTCTTCATCTCTGTTCTGTATTTGGTAAGTGATGCATAGTTACTGGCCTCTTATATAGTATTTTACAGTAGTTTTAATGCCACTTCTGCAAATATTTTTTAACTTTGGTTGTTGCTATTTAAGTTTCCTTTTCAACCTGCTTATTTTTTTTAGTACCTAGTCATTTTTTTATTGTTCTTGCAAGGTTGTTTAACTTCTGTAAACAGGACCACTAGTACAGAGCGGTTGATTTTTAAAACCATTCCTGTCTGTCACTCAGGATTAAATAGAAGTTGGTTTTTTTCCTGAAGTTTTTTTACTAGCTAAATGGAGCAGTTCGTTCTTTATGTACATTACATGAGGCAGGTGAAATAATATGAATCTCAAATTACTAGAGTACAAATTTACAGCTTTCCCTTAGCATTCATTTTTTTTCCCCAAATGCTTATTTTTCCTTGTTTTCAAGGTTGAAACAAATGTTAAATGATCTTATGCGCCAGCAAGAACAACAGTGTCAAGAGAAGCCATTGAGAAAGGAGAGCAGCAGTAGTGCACCACCACCTCCATCTCCTGTTTTCTGTCCGTTCAGCTTTCCTCCACAACCTGTGAACCTGTTTAATGTACCAGGATTTACTAACTTTTCTTCCTTTGCTCCAGGTGAGTATTACTACAGGTGTGAAAAGTAATATGAATTTCAAAACTTTGTTTCCTTACTTAATTGAAATCTTAATGTGAACTTGCTGAAACTCTGTGACTTTCCCTTTATAGTGAAATGGTCTTAAACAGCACTTGAATGAGTCCCTATTATACTAGCAGAAGTTTGTTAATGTGTATTGCTGAACATTTGTATATTTTTACTTCAGTATGAAAAGCAAGACTTTCTCAATAAGTTGGTTATAGTCAAAAATACCCACTCCATAAAGTCAACATTTTTAATGTTCTTCATCCAGCATGTGAAAAGCAATGTTTGAAACTTTTACGTACCTTCAACAGTCTTTTAATAGTGTTCTGGCTAAGTGAACCCTCCAATTTTAAGTGGCACTTGGTAATTATTTCTCTTTTTCTTAGAACTTCTAGCACTCATTTTTGTTTGAAATGCTTGTAAATGGAGCATGTTACTAACTTTTGTTCCCATCAGAGGTACAGAGTAACTGTTGACTTGGATAAAGTGTTCCTAATCTCATTACCAAATCTACTTTTACTATTGAATTTGAAATGGAAAAAAATGGAGGTATTTTACTGTATCATTAGAAGTTGTTAAAGCTGTCTTAATAATATATTTCATTTTTTTCAGGAAACCAGGAAATAGGCATAGACCGAGATTGTAGCTTTCAGATTCTAAAGTCTCTTTCTGTTTAAGGGTATATTTTAAATATTACGGAACCTGCACAGAAGAATAGCTATGTTCAATTTGCCACTACTATAAAAATTCTAAAGTTAAAATAAGTATTATGAATTTATGACTACTTTGGCCCTATGAATACTTGTACCATTGGAATTTTCTTGTCAGTTTGGTAGTTGAAGTATTGATAAAGTCTTCATGCAGACAGAACTCTGCCTTTTTTTAAACTTTTTTACCTTCACTTGTAGGAGCTCTTTACTGGGGTTTTTGAAGTACATTAATCTCTCCACTGATGGGATTGTAGTGGCATGTGCAGTATCCAGTAATGTTTGAAACCTGCATTTAAGATAAATACTGATTATTGCAGTGCTTCCAAGACCAAAACAGTTTTTGTTTACTTCCTCGCTGTATTTTTGCTTCATAATGTTATGTTGCTTCGTAATGTTATGTTATAATGTTTGCTTCATAATGTTATGTTGCCACACAATATGTCTCAAATTTGACTTTTATCACACAGATAAATGAGGTAGTGTCTTCAGACTGTCTTGTTTAATTCGTAGGTATTAACTATAATCCAGTATTCCCTTCTGGTTTTGGAGACTTCGCACACAATATTTCCCCGCACAGCAGTGAGCAGCAGCAGCAACATCCCCTAGATCATAATGCTTCTGGGAAAACTGAGTATATGGCATTCCCCAAACCTTTTGAAAGCAGTTCCTCTACTGGAGCAGAAAAACAAAGGTATTGAATGTCACAGTGCAATTCTCCTTTAATCATTTTTCCTCCCTCTCTCCTCACTTTTCTGAGGCTTGTGGGAATTCATTGTTCTTTTAGGGAATTTATCTTCCAGGTAAATAACAGAATTACAAGATGAGCTTACTTTTGGAGTTTCCAGTTTAATTTTTTAACTTTTTTTCCACTGAAGCGTTCTGCTTTTTTGTATATTAATTAATGTACCATATAATGAGTATTTTAAGATCAAATACAGTGTTGAAGTGGTTTTGTGATAGATTTTGTAAGGGGAGGAAGATTTCATTTCTATGTTTTTTGAAACTGAGCTGTTTGAATAACTAGAGGATATAATTTCAGTGAATGCTTATTTTTTTATGCTACAGTAGATTGTACTGAATTTTGTTTTAAGAAATGTTTTATCCTATAGTACTATTTGAGCACAGCAATAGCTGCATAAGTATATCAAGGTTGAAATAAGTGATAAATGTAAATTTCTTCAGACGTCTTCTGTTTTCCATTTGGAAGGGTTCTCACTAGATTTTTTTTTTTTTTCAATGTTTGTTTTTTTAATGTTGATGACTAAGTAACTAGGGCAGATAACTTGCATTATGGACAAAGCTATTTGCCTGGTAATACATGCTGTTTCTACCCAAGAGGTTAGGTTATGGTCTATTGTGGTGTTTCTTTCTTTCCTTCTTTCTGACAGAAGAAGTCATAGACAACCTGAAGAGGAAATGGAAAAAAGATCAACTTGGCTTAATGATAGCCAGGAAGTGAAAAAAGATGATCCGTCTCAGCTGAAAGCAGGTTTTGCAGTTTCAGTACAAAACGTTGCTTCTGGTCATAAAAATCAGTCTGATACAAGCAGGAGAAGAGAGTTTGATGAAGAGTCTTTGCAGAGTTTTAGTAGCATGCCTGATCCAGTAGACCCAACTACTGTGACAAAGACATTTAAATCTAGAAAAGCATCAGCACAAGCAAGCTTGGCATCAAAAGATAAAACACCCAAATCGAAGAATAAGAGGAAGAGTTCTTCTCAGCTAAAAGGCAGAATTAAAAATGTTGGTATGTTGTAAAGTACTCTTAGATACCATAGCAAACTCAACTTCAATTATAATCATTACATTCCAGAGAATCTACTCTCTATAAATAGTACCTATAATCATGAAAATAAGGTATTGAAATATTAATTCATTTTACATAACATAACTACATCAGGTTTTTTAGTATTTCAGTAAATAAAAAGTATAACTGATTAGGACATCATGATTTGGATGGATAGTGGCTGCAGATACACTCAGATTTGGAATGAGCCACCAGGAGAATCTTCCTTTTCATTATGTCTTCATGTTCAAAGTGGATGACTTGCTGAAAGATGTGCTTCAGTAAAATACTGAATGAGAAGAGAGGGACAGTACTAGCACGTATAGTACTGTTGCATAGTACTGTTGCAGTCAGAGGATTTAGTGCTACTGTATGGATTCAGTCTACAGAGGAAAATTTTTGCCTAGGAAACATCACTGGTGTTTTGCATCTTTGCAATTGCCCTCAAATTTTTAAAAGTAATAAAACATTTTGTAAGCTATTCTTTTTATTTCTTCCTTTTCATTCCCTCCCGTAAGGTTATGAAAGTGCAAGCGCTTCTAGCGTGTGTGAACCCTGCAAGAGCAATAAAAGCAGACACTCTGAAGAGGTTGTTCATGCAAAGGTGTTCAGCAAAAGGAATCGGGAACAATTGGAAAAAATAATTAAATACAGTAGATCTACAGAAATGTCTTCAGGTATTCTTTTCTGAATGTCAGTAATTATTTTGTGAACTTCGCTGAGTAAAGGACCTCCATGTTTAGTTGCTAGTGTATTATTTAAAAGCAGTGTATTATGACAAGACAACAATGCTGTATTTTTAGCATGTGGATTCTGCTTTTTAATTTCTAAGGATGCTGTAAGCATAAAAGTATGTAAAAAATCAGGTATTGATTGCTTTTGGGTGTTTTCTGTAGATTAGGTACTTGATTAAACCAATTTAGAAACAAACCTGTTACTGTAAAACAAAAAAACCCTAGCCAACCAAAAACCTCACTGATTTGTTGGTCTTTTTATGGAAAGTAACTGCACAACAGATGAAATTTTGTTTAGCATTTAAACTACATCCTGTACTGCATACATGTTTTCTTTCTAGTCATGCTTAAAGGAACGCTATCAAATATCATTCAAATTCAATCTTATAACATCACATAAATGCTTACATTTTTGCCATCTGCACTGCTTTTCTTGCATCTAGATCGTAAAAATATTCTCTTCTGTGTCTTTTTAGGTTCTGCCAGTACCTTTGTTTTGTTTGAAAGATGCAGAAATTTTAGTTATTGTAGCACGATGTACAGCTTTGTCAATGTAGCTGTGTCCACACTAAGAGCTGTTTATTGGTATATGTAATAAACTTTTACCAGTCAAGTTCTCACAATAAGCAGCTTCGATGTCATTTGGATGACTAAGCAGTCTTCCTCCTGCTGTTTTGTATAGACCCTGTCTTTATTTCTGGTGCGCATTTTTGTGTTTATCACTGTCTATCCCCACTTTCCTACAGCGCATGCTAGGAGAATTCTGCAGCAGTCTAACAGAAATGCATGCACTGAAGCGCCAGGTAATGCATTCACTGCTTAGCTTCAACAGTGTCCTATTTTTTTTTAGCTCTCTTAGCTTTGGTCCTATAACTCAGACTGTTTAACAGATGTTCAAAATTAGTACTATTGCAGCACCTTCTCTATAAACAAGGCAGGAGAAGTTACCTGTAATTTGCATGAAGTGCAATGATGCAAACTACTTTCAATTGTAATTGTGGAGGATGTGTTCATCATGTTCTTGGCTAGTCACAGTTACAAATGGAAAATACACAGGTAGATGCTAACACAAAAAAATTCAGTAGGCATTTTTAGTGTGTTTAAAAGCTACTATTACATTTTACTAGTGGGGGAGGGAAGCGATTTCTAGTGGCTTATTAAAGGTTGAAAAAGCTTGCCTGTATGCTTAAAAATACTCATAAACTATTTGCTGATAATCAGATTGCACAGTAGCGTTTGCTGTATTGCTAATAACTTCATTAACTCGAATACTAACAAATACGCATCTGTTAAACTAAGCTGAGTTTTCCAAATTTAACTTTTTTTTCCATTCAACACTTGCTAAAATATGTATGTAATAATTTAACTGTTGTGATGCAAGGATAATCCTTAATTTTCAAAGGCATGGAAGACTTATTAGGGAACACATTGTCTTCTCATATGTATGTAGTAGGGCTTAAGGGTAAGAGGTTTTCCGTGAGCCTCAGAAGTGATACTAGGCATCTATGAGAATGTAGGATTTATGCCTGTGTGGGAAGAAGTTGCTTTCTTGAATTCAGTCTAGAGCTTCCTTAATGTTGTTGCTTGTGTTGTAAAAGTGTGGACTACTTGTATTATATAAACTTGAAACCTCTGGCTGTCTTGTTTGAAATATCTTAGAACTCCATTTTCCGTATTGAACACCTATTCTGAAAGCAGCATTGTGATGTGCGCAATACTTTAATAAAGAACACTTTCTAAAGGTGTTGTTCAGAATTGTAAAGAAAGTTATTCCTATGAATGCTTTATATTTTATTTCATATATAAACGATTGCATAAAGTATTATTTCAGAATGTTTAAATCTTTGTTGCCCTTCAGAAAATTAGTAAGCCTTAAAAAACCAGCTATATAATGGAATCTACAATGATTGAGATATAATTTGTGTACCTCTAACTTGCATACCTAATAGGCAGCTGTCTTTCAACTGGATGCGTGACAAGAACTTAACAAGTTCCTTTTTTTTCTGCAGAAACCGGTAGTGATCTTTCTATGTTTGAAACTTTGCGAGACACAATTTATTCTGAAGTGGCAACTCTTATTTCTCAAAATGAGTCTCGTCCCCACTTCCTTATTGAACTTTTCCATGAGCTTCAGCTGCTAAATACAGATTACCTGAGGCAACGGGCTCTATATGCTTTACAGGTATGCACAAAATTGTGGATCTTGTGTATGAATCAAACAAGTCTTAGATCCTTTTTTACAGTATAGATTTACTATCTTTTCCAGGATATAGTGACCAGACATTTATCTGAGAACAACGAAAACCAGAAGTGCACAAAATCACTGAATTCTGCAACATGGATGGCATCAAATTCTGAACTCACTCCCAGTGAAAGCCTTGCTTCTACAGATGATGTAAGTTTTCAAGTTCGGAAGCTAGCTTACTGTCAGCTTTTCCTATCTCTTCAATTTACATGAGTGCTTGTGTACTGAAATATTCATACTAGCGACTGAATTTTCTAAAATTAATATCAATTTATACGGACTTTTCTAAACAAATGCAAGAGAATGCAGAAGTGATTAAATGTGGTAGGATTCTTGATGCTGGAAATAAGTGATGTGTCAGGGAGGAATAGAACATGGAGAGAGGCATAAATTGGAAACTGATACTCAAAAAGAGCCAAAATCATGTTGTGAGTAAGGTCAGGGCAAGTACTGATCACAAGATTCCCCAAAATTTTTTGCTTTTTTGTATGTAAGGAATCACTGATGCCTCTGTACAGTTTCTTAAGTGTTTTATAGTTGAAGTATTTGAAACAAACATGGTAGAATCACCTGATGGATTTGTATCCTGAAAGTAAGGTAGTTCCCCAGTCAGGCAGCCTGGTGACAAGTCCTGATACCACAGCCTGTGGCTGAAAAGAATTGCTGGCTTGTTGACACATCTTTGAGAGGATGGTGTGTTCCTGCTTTGTACTCAGTTGTTTGGTGATTTTTAGGAAACTTTTGGCAAGAACTTTTCTACAGAAGCATGTCAAGATTGTGAACAAAATGATGCAGACAATGGGAGTACTATGTCTACATCTTCAAATTTTGAACCCTTTGCCACTGATGACCTTGGTAAGAATCATGTCATTTACAATGTTCTAAGTGTTACTCCCTCCCTCCTAAAATGCCTGCAATTGTCTATGCTTAAGTAGTATGCTATTCTTTGATTTTTAGCACGTAATCACATGTTTTGTAAAACAACACTTAAAGGAAATTTGCCACTTGTGAAACACTTTGAGTTGATCAAAGTGTGTAATAAAATAACGTAACTCAACTGCAGTTGTATGTAGATTTTAAAACTTGCGGCTTTGAATTAATTTCTATTGTTGTTTACTTGTCTATCAATTAAACTTTTTTATTTAGATTAAAAGGTATTTTTATTCTAAATATAGGCAACACAGTGATTCACTTAGATCAAGCTTTGGCTAGGATGAGGGAATATGAGCGTATGAAAATTGAAGCTGAAAGTACCCTTGACTCTGAGGGCTGCTCTAGTAATTTTCAGGGTGCTTCTGCTGCTAAATTAGAAGGTATGCACATACATACATATTTTGCTTAGTTTTAGAAAATAATTATTCTAAATATCAAGAATTACTGAATTGGCTGACTTGTTTTCCTCTTCATTTATATTGAAAACTTAGCAAAGTTACAAAGGATCTTTACGTACTTAAGTAAATATGCTTTATTTTAAAAAAGCAAAATATATGGTTTTGAAACTGGTATTTCTTTAATAGTAATGTTGAATGACTTAAATGTCTTTTTTTTTTTTTTTTCAATGAGGTCCAAGTACTAGTGAATGTCTTCCTGTACCACAGTCAAATCAAGTTTCTGCTGTTCCATGTCCTCGTATAGATACTCAGCAGCTTGACCGGCAGATTAAAGCAATTATGAAAGAGGTCATTCCTTTTCTGAAGGTAAGAACTCTTTTCAATAATGTGTGAATTAGGAGAATAGGGAGAGGACCGGCATAATTGCATAGAACAACATTATTTAAAATGGATAACTTGCATTTTAGCAACAGCTGCCAATAAATATGTGTTAAGTTGCCAACCTTGCTGAGGATGAACTAAGGATTAAATACTCCAACAGAAAGATTCTGTGGAGTTTAATAGGAGAAAAATGGTAAGGTTTCTAGATTGCATAGGGCTGGGGACTTCACATCAAGAAGAATAGAGATTTCTTTCTTTGGAGCTGACCAAATCCAATAGAAATGTTTGAGAATGTACTTCTGAAATATTTGCTGCCTCTCAGCAAAGAGAACTGAGATAATTTTGATTAAAACTGTTACATGCAATGTAACTTGAGGTATTTTTGAAGACTAGCTCCAAGTTGTTGATTTTTAGCATTATTTTCTCCTGTTTACAAGTATCTTTAAAGTTGTTGAGAGCTTGTAAACTTCTGTGAATACAGAGGAGAAATGTGCTACTTTAAAGAAAGAGAAATAGTCACAGTTCATTCTTTGCAAGGTTAAAGAGCAGAGAAGATTGACTTGTAAGATGCTTAAGTCATCTCCCTGTTTCTTTTTATAGTATGCCCAGTATATAAGCTTAGGTTTGTTTAATAAGGTACTTGGTTGATACTAGTTTTAAAGACTCTGTATATTGTTGACATGCCACAGTCTCAGTGCCTGAAGGCTTCTGTTTTGTTTGCAGTTTTAAGGAAGCTTACAACAGTAGATATCTTAACATGCACCCTAATACACTTGAGTACACAACCACGATAGATATCTTAGTTTGTCCAAAGGTTAAAAGATGGCATGTACTAATGTATTGGAAAAGTGAGATAAAGCTTTGTGTGTTGTGGCCAATCATTCATTAATGAAGCATGGTATCTGCTATAACTGTGTTAGTTTGTTTCGCGAGGTGGGTTAGGACTTGTTCATGGAGTGCTGTTCCTTCAGTGGACAGGTGATTTTTTTATAAATGAATTTCAGTATTTGAGTTGATGGCTATTTTAAGTGGTAACTAAGCTTATTCTGTGATACTTGTTTAGGAACACATGGATGAAGTATGCTCTTCTCAATTACTGACATCAGTAAGACGTATGGTCTTGACTCTTACACAACAAAATGATGAAAGTAAAGAATTTGTGAAGTTCTTTCATAAGCAGCTTGGCAGTATACTTCAGGTTAGTAGTTTTTCAGTGTTGTTTTGCAACACTATTGCAACTTGAACAATGAGCAACAGATAAACCAGCTTACCTGAAGTTATATTTTACAATTTCAGTAGTATAGCTGCTGTTCTCCTTCAGCTTTGATACAGCAATGAGGTATCACCTTGTTTCCTAAAATTAAAGCTTTACCATACACAGAACTTAGTTTCCATCACTGCCAGATAGTGAGAGGTGTATCTCCTGCCTGTGGCTGTCTTCAAGGAGAGCTCTGGTGGTGCTCTTTGTGGACATTTTTTGTAAATTCCTGAAAATCAACAGGCTGCTCTTTTCTTTCTTCCTCTTTTTTTTTCTCTACAAGCATAGAGTTTAAATCAGTAACTTCATAAGTTCTGTGTTGTGTGACTGGAGATTCTACTTAAAATCTGTTCAAGACACTAAACCATATTTTTTAAAAAAGTATGAGCTATTGTATACCTAACTAATTTTGAGTTGTTAGGAATATGACAAGTACTTAGTCTTGGAAGTTTGAAAGCCTGTTTGAAAAACTGAAGAACTATTTCTCTTCACAGGATTCACTGGCGAAATTTGCTGGTAGAAAATTAAAAGATTGTGGGGAGGATCTTCTTGTGGAGATCTCTGAAGTGTTATTTAATGAACTAGCCTTTTTTAAACTCATGCAAGACTTGGACAACAACAGTATTTCTGTAAAACAGAGATGTAAAAGAAAAATAGAAACTACTGAAGTGATACAGTCTTACGCTAAAGAGGTTTGTTTTATTTTTAAAACATGTAGCTTTTCTGAGTTTCCTAAATACCTGCATTTCCTACACTACTTTGATTACCTTAGTTATATGTTGTATATATGGTTTGTTGTTTGGGGTTTTTTTTTAATAAATTAGTGCTGTGTAGTCACAGTATTTCTTGTGTAGAAGCATGAACTAGTTTTCCTCAGTAAGGGAGACATCAGGAAGGTGAGTATCTGTTACAGATATCTAATTGTGTAGGCTTTATGTTGGTAATTCAGAGGAAATGTGTTTTAATGGTTATATGTGCACATAGGAAAGAATAGTCAAGTGTTGAAACAGTATTAACATCTGGGGCCATTGAGTAGTTGCTTTGGTTTAACCCCAGCCAGCAGCTAAGCACCACACAGCCACTTGCTCACTCCCCCTCAGTGGGATGGGAGAGAGAACTGGAAGGGTAAAAGTGAGAAAACTCGTGGGTTGAGATAAAGACAGTTTAACAGGTAAAAGAAAAACCACACATGCAAGCAAAGCAAAACAAGGAATTCGTTCCCACCTTCCCATCGGCAGGCAGGTGTTCAGCCATCTCCAGGAAAGCAGGGCTCCATCACGTGAAATGGTTACTTGGGAAGGCAAACGCCATCGCTCCAAATGTTCCCCCGCCTTCCTTCTTCTTCCCCCAGCTTTATATGCTGAGCATGATGTCATATGGTATGGAATCCCTTTGGTGAGTTGGGGTCAGCTGTCCCAGCTGTGTCCCCTCCCAACTTCTTGTGCACACCCAGGCTACTCACTGGTGGGGTGGTGTGAGAAGCAGAAAGGCCTTGACTCTGTGTAAGCACTGCTCAGCAGTAACAAAAACACCCCTGTATTATCAACAGGGTTGTCAGCACAAAACCAAAACATAGCCCCATACCAGCTGCTGTGCAGAAATTTAACTCTATCCCAGCTAAATATTTTGACATGCATGGGTCCCAGTTGATCATCTCTCCAGTTATGCCTACAGCTTTCCTTGCAGTACCTTAGTTAGGCACCATCTTTGTCTAACTTGAATAAGTCCTATGAAGTCATCAAATAGTTGGCTTGTTGTCATACGTAGAAAGTATTACTTTCTTGGAGTATAAAATATATATAAACTTTTCAGGAATATTTGAGACTGTAGTACATCATCTGCTCTAACAAAGCAAGTTCTGTTTGGTTTTCCCACCATTTACATAATTAAAGATGTTGCATCACCATTTTTAATTTTAGTATTGCAGTTTTTAGGAACAGAGCTTTTTTTAAGTTATGTGAAGTGTTTACAAAAGAAACACTAAACCAGATCATATTCATATACTTAAATTGGTCAAGTATCTACCTCAGTGTTTCTTCTTGTATAGTACAGCTATGACTTCAGTGTCCTTTCAGCTTTCTTTTAGAAACATAAATACCAAAGCAAACCCATAACTCATTCTTATTTTAAAATGTCAATGGAAGATACTTTGTGCAGTGCTGTAAGTAGTTTTAAGCATATCATCAGCTACATTTTCAAGATAGTTCAACTTAAATATACCAGTAACATGGCTAGTGTGAGAGAGGCTGCGGAGTGCCTTGTAAAGGTCTAGAGAAACACTCTGAATCCAGAAGGATTTGGACATGACTTCCTATTTTATCTGAAGTTGCTCATTGGGTCTTTGTTATGTAAAGGATTGGTTTATATGCTGCTATGAGAATGCATGGAGCCAACTTAGATCTGGCATTTCTTCTCTTCTCCTGGAAGACAGAATTAGGGTTAAGGTCAATGTTTGCCTTGTTGCTGTGGCATCAGTTCAGGTTCAACACAGCCAGAGATGAGCCAGAACTGGTAGGTCCTGGTTACTTTGTACAGACCCGTGTAATTATCTATGGTCTTCTCACAGCTTCCAGATCTGGTATCCTGATGCAGGCACATCTGATCTTGCTTGATTTTGTGGCTATCTTGAGTCCAGTAAGCTAACTGGTTTTAGGTTCCACACTGTAAAACATAGCGCTCTGTCTTGACCAGAGCTGGTATATCTAATTCTGTATGTTAAATATGATTCAACCACAGACTGGAGAATTAGCCCATGTGAACATAATTGTTTAAATAAGAAGGGCTAGCACAGTTTTTTGTAATGTTTTGCATCTCTAAAATTTTGAAGACATCTGTGTAAACACCTCTATAGTATAGAAGTCCCTGTGGCTTACTGCTGTTTTGAGATAGCAATTCTTGGCAAGATTGGCATTTCGGCCAGGCTTTCACGAAGCCCTAGTTTGGTTCAGTATTTCAAAGTTACTTCAGTTTAGAATTGAAGACAGTTTGTGTTTCTTCTAGGCAAAAAAAGGTCTCCAGGTGGATGTTTGTTCATCTGCTGAAGATGTCGATGAGGACAAAGTATGTTTATGCTTCTCAACTGTCTTTACTCCTCAGATAATTTCACAGATCACTTAGTCTTACTGTTGCCTGTCATAAATCCCGTATCTGTAAGCAGCCCATTTCTTAATGTTTATAGATTTATTAAACATCATGGGGTTTTGTTATTTTCAGTGATTTACTTTCTCAAAGTAACAAAGTAAATTATAATTTCCCTTTTTTCAATTTGAGTTGATGGTCTGGGAAATGACTACCAAAAAGTCAGCCTTCATCAATAAGTCTTTGCTATTACATGCATTCAGTAAACACGACTTGGATATCAGTTCCTTGGTTGGTCTTGGTTTTTTATTCCTGTTTCTACTGCAGAGCCATTACCAGCATAAAGACTGTTTGATGCATTTCTTACAAAATATTATCTTGTTACCTTTCAAGAAGTGCATTCAGATCAACAAAGATAGTATTAAAGATGCTTTTCTACTTATTGTTGGTGACCTTTATGTAAAAGAAATAATTTGTGATACTTGCTGAGCAGCTTTAGGGTAGGATCTTGCTTTTCCTTTTAGTATTCGTTTTCTGTATTTTAAAGAAAAAAGAAAAGACTTGTTCTGAACGTATTTTTTGTGGGATGTGGTCTGAGGCTGTGCCTGTATTCTCAGCTCAGAGCATTGAGAATGAAGTCATACACTGAAGAATTAAATAACAAGGACAGTAAATAGAGATGGTGCTCAACTATTTCAGCAATTAAGATTTTCTTTTTTAATGGTATGGAGTAAATTGTTTTACTTTTCATCTTAAGGAGCAGGCAGATGTTCTGAGTTGGGGCACAGGTCTTTTCCAACCCAAACGATTCTAGGATTCTATGGTATTTGAGGTCCTCAGAGTCAAAGTCTGAGTGTTAAATGTTAGCGCCCAAAAATTCTCCCTTTTCTCTTTGTTTTGAAAACCACTAAAATCATTGTGTTTGGGGAGAGGGGTTGTATATGAAGTTTTGTATTTTCTGCTGCAATGTTCAGCTTTTTCCAACCAAGGGAAAGATATAGGTAATGTACTAAGAATGTTGGATGCTTTCATAAAAGGGCATAGGCATACGTGTAGGCATGTATGGGCATAGAGTCAGTGCTTGGTTCAAGGGCTTAGAGCTTCTGTCACACTGCTTTGGAAGTACAAGTGGGAAGCTATATATCAGTTATGGTTGCTGTAGTGTACAAGAGTCCTTTCAAGATTTGGAGCCAAACTCAGGGCTTTACTTGGTGTTCATATAGACTGAGCAGAATTTTCTCACTCAAGGTATTTAGCAAATCATTCAGCAGAGAAACTGCTGAATAGCTATTGCTAAAGAAATGAGAAGCTGCAGTTAGGAATATTCCTAATTTTTACTAGAGATCATTTAGGAGAAGCAGGGAAGTTGCTAGAAGGTAATAATGCAGGTGTGTCTTTCTTCTTAATAATAACAAATCTCATTTAAAGAATTTTTTTTTTTTAAAGCTAGCATGCTGATCAGTGTGAACCTTTTCAGATAATGAAATTCTCAGTTATGATGCCCTTGATAGCTATGTCTGAACAGCGCATGATCTCTTCTAGCAGGTTCTGATGCTCTGTTTCAGGAGTAGCTTTCCAGTATTCATTTCAAGGCCTTAAGAACTATGTAAAACATTAATTTTTAGTCTGTGGATTTTTTTTATTTTTGAAAAACAAAGGTGACTCCTTGATGCAGAAACCATAACTTAGTCTTTAGATAAACAAACATGGAATTGCACAGTATTCCTTGTTTTCCTAGGACAAGGATGAGACTGAAACTGTTAAACAAGTACAGAACTCGGAAATGTATGATGGTAATGGAGTTCCTGATAGTATTAGGTCTGATGCATCTGATCAAGAGGAAGATGAGGAAAGTGAAAGCGGTCCAGTGGCAATAAGTAAGTGATTTTTATATAGCTCATTACTCAATGCTTTCACTAGTTTTGACCAACTAATTTTACAACAGGGTTTGCATGAAGTACTGCTGTGTAACACCTTCTCTCACAGATTATCTAGACAGGTCTTTTCCAGTGAAAGTTTTCCAGTACAGTATTTACCAGTATTGTGTCAAGGATTAAACATTCCAATTAAAGGAGCTTTTTCTCTTTGTAATAAGTAGATCTGTAAAAACACGTTAGAATCAGATTCATTGTTTAAGTTACATACCCTGTCTCAGCTAAACTTGAAGTTTCTCAACCTTTAACCTGAATGATGTGAAAGCTGCTGAAATTTTATGCAGTTTTTCATTTAAATGATGATATTTTTTTTAATATGCTTCTACTTAAGCTTGCATAATTTTTAATAATTTTTTTGTCCTGTTTGTTGTCTTGCACCAACTACTCATGGCTTGGTTTCCCTTATATTTACATTCTTCACACCAACTTGTTTAATAACTTAGATATTTCATACCAACACCCTGGTGTTTGTTCATAATATAGTTTGTGGAGCTTATGGATCTTTGAAAGTTGTCATCACTCTATCTTAATTTCAAAGAATGTTTTGATATAAGAGTTATAACTGATCATTGCAGTAAATTCCCAAAAGGGATTTGGATTTTGCAGCCTGACTTTTACTCTGTCAGCTTCTGTCAATATGTAAATCCAATATGAAGGTGGTTTTACATTGATTTGCCTTCAGGTTTATCAAAAGCAGAAACCCAAGCTCTGACTAACTATGGCAGTGGAGAAGATGAGAATGAAGATGAAGAAATAGAATTTGAGGAAGGACCTGTTGATGTGCAGACATCACTACAAGCCAGCAGTGAAACAACAACTGAAAATGAACAGGTATCATCACAGTTGTAAATGCAGAACAAACCTAAGCCAGTGCACAGCTTTTCAGCAGATATTTGTACGTACTTAAGTTTTTCTTGTTGCACTGGTTTCATACTAACAAAACTAGAAGAATGATACAAGAAATTACATGAAAGCAATAGATGCTACATACAAAATGCAGCATTCCCCACCTGAATTTATTATTGGTATAGCTGATGCCAAAATGGATGGACACAGACAAAACTAATGTTTAAATCTGCTATTAGAAAATGTTAAGCTGCAGAAGAAAAGATAAACTTTCAAAAAAGCATTATGTTTTAAACTGTTAACTGGTTCTTCCTCTGTTTGCTGACATCGAGCTCTAATTGGGCTTTCCTTTGCAGAAGCCATTTACTCTTGTATTCTAGCAATGTCTTTGATTTGTCTTTCCTCTGTACCATATAATATTTTTTTCTAGAACAATGGTAAAATGTTATTGGCTGCTACTGTCATGTCACTGTTAGTTTTCTTACAAACATTTGGATGGGTGTGACCTGGTTCTGGAGACTTGTCAGTTCTTTACATTTCAGTAAATAAGATTGACTTCTGAATCTTTTGAAACTTTGCTTTACTCAACAGGTATTAACATTACACAAGATGTAACTAGAACATTTTACTTTAAAGGCTAAAACAACAGATCTTTTCAGTGGAACCGAAGAGTTTACCTGGGAACTACTATAGTGAAAAGAAAATTAAATGTTCAGATAAAACACACATATCAGTGTTGAGTTTCTTAAAGTGTTTATTAACTAGCTGATGAATAGAGAGTAGAACTTGCTGTCTTTATTTCAAACTAGTGAAAAGACAAAGACGTGGAGCAAGTGTACAGTGTGTTTCTAGTATAGCAAAGAAGAGTAAATGAGGCAATAAGCTGTGAAGCTGATTAGTAGAATTTGTTCTAACTTGTTTTCACCTTCCCCAATAGGCTTCAAACCAAGAACTGAGTAAGACAAAAAGCAGTGAGATTTTGTCATCAGAACAAGAATCTGTTAAAGGTAAGCCCCATATGCAGTAACTGAGAGATTAACACTTCTATATGAATTTGCATACTGTGAGAATTATCTTGGACAGTGCCTGTGATATAAGTAATTAAGAGGAAGATGATCAAATTTGCAAGAGTTTACTGGGCTGTTTTTTTTCATGGAACCATTGTCAGTTGACTAGATAACATCTGTGTTGATACAGACACAGCAAACCTTTTAAAGAGGAATCCTGGAATAATCTTACCTACACAGAGGTGGTTTTGATGCTTGACAATGGCATGAATTTCAGTTTATTTTTGCAGCACTTGGCACACAACTGTAGCAGAGTTAATTTTTCTGTTACAGTATTTTGATGTTTAGATTTGTCTAGTATTTTTTTTTCTGCTACTACCATTTACTAGCAATTGAAATCACTTTATATTTTAAAGATCTATTTCTGTGAGTAATGCTGTGTTGTAACTGATTAAGAACTGAGAAATCATGTTCTGTCAAAAGACAGAAACACTACCGGATGGTATGAATGTTACTTCTAATCTAAATGCTGTTACCACCTTCTCTTCCTGGTTTTTTTTCTGATGCAAATACTGGGTCTTGGTCATTTTTTGTAGTCTAAAAGCAGTAGTTGAGTAGATCCTGTGTTGCCACAAGAACGTGGCAAAATGTTAAGGAATTTATTGTTCTGTGTTATATCTCTTTATACCTAGAATGAATATTTTACAGTAGGTCATACAGTTCTGGAAGTTGTTTTTTGGTGTTTTCTTTCTAAGAAAGCTGTATCAAGTCAGAAATTTTTAAGTCACATACTATCTTGTGATAATTGCTGATACTTAAGTGTATGAGAGTACGAATAACTGATGTTTTATTTCAATCAGCTTTGTGTTGATCTGAGAGACTATAATTCACTTGCGTTGTTCATTTGTAGCTTTGGATCATAATTTGTGAAAAAAAAATCTGGGATTGCTTTATGTTCAGAATCTTTTTCTATCTTTACCTAGCTAAAATAGTTTTGTGGTTTTAGGTGAACAAGATGTGGCCATAATTTTGCCTCATCACCTCAATGTCATGGAGAATACACCACCTTTAACAGTCAGTACCCCAGAATCCTTTACAACAGCCAGTAAGAAAACAGAAGAATCAAGCTCATCTTTACCAGTAAATGAAACTCAAACACTAGATACAACATGTGTAGGAAACAAATCTGCTGCAAGTTCTGAAAGCTCCATGGCTGGCAGCCCTGATACGGAGTCACCTGTGTTAGTGAATGAATATGTGCGTATATTTCAGTTAAGATACATGCAAGAGAAATGAGAAGCTTTGTTCTATTTCAGTGTTATTTCTGTCTTCCAGTCTTGTTCAGTTTTCATCTGCAAATTTGATGTGGGCATTGTTTTATGATGTACTGTATTGTAATAGTAAAAAAATGTAGTTTTGGAGTGAAAATAAATTGAAGTAGCATTATTCTCTTAAATGTCACTATTTTTATTAACAGGAAGGTGGTTCTGGAAATGTAAGTCAAAAATCTGATGAAGATGACTTTGTGAAAGTTGAAGACTTGCCCCTTAAACTTGCAGTATATTCAGAGGTATTTTGCTATTGTTTGTGGGGTTGCTGTTTAGAAGTGCACACCCTAAATGTCTTAATTATCTAGACAGCAGTAAGAATTATCCAGAATTTTGAGTTTTGCTTTATCTGTTACAAAGGCAGATTTAATGAAGAAAAAGGCAATGGAGGCCCAAACCAACAGTTTGTCTCATGAATTACTGGATGGAGGTGGAGCTCAAGGTCAAGAATTAGCAGGAGATGCCCAAACTTTGAAAGAACCTGGTAAAGATTATTTTCTAAATCCTCTACACCTACTTGGAAAATGCTCTGGAATGGCATAGAATTTAAATATCTTGTTATCACTTACTGAAGTAAGCAGTTATCACAGTGCTGAAAGAATATCCTTTTTTGTTACCATGCATTTGAAAATGATGTATTGATATGAAGTGATTTTTGCCTTCCGTGTTTCTTCTATATACTTCTGTGGCTAAGAGTCATAAAAGTTAACATACGTAAAATGCATGTTATAACTTAATGGTTTTGAAACTTATTAAAATGGAATAGTATTTTTGTTTCTTGTTACACAAGCTTGGGTTTAATGATATTGTAAATTCTAATTGCTATTAGCTGATTTAATAATGCTCAATATAATTTGCTGGCAGACTCTTCAGTGGTTTTGTAATAGAAAAGGTCAAGAGACTTTTCAGAATAGTAAAATATCTATTCAGGGAAAAGAAAACTATTTTTCATATGAAGCATACCATGAGGTAGAAAAAACTTTTAAGTATGACAGCAATAAAGATTTGTCACTTTCATGAAACAGTATTTATGCAGCTACAAAAACTTAATGCAGGTCAAAGAAACTTTCCTTTTTTTAATATAATGTTGATATTGTGACACAAGTAATGACATTAGAGGCTTCTGTTCCATTGTTAGGCTCATAGTTCTCCAGTGGAGGGTATAGTAATGGCATATATAAATGCATGAACTGGGTATTCTGAGGGCAGTAGTTTTCTGCTAGTGTAGCTATTTCCAATTCCTCAAACCGTATAAGCTGATGAAAATGCTTTTTTCTAATGCAGCTGTAGTGACAGTGTAGGATTTTCCGGAGTAGAGTGTGAAGGAAGGTGCTATCTTTCCTTCCATTTCATTCACTGCCCATCTCCATTCTGCTTGTCATAGCTATGTTAACAGAAGTCTGTTGTGTCAGTTTGGTGAATACTGATGCATATGCCTGGTGTGGGCACAGTGGCTAAGAATGCCATGGCACACAAAATCGGTAGCTAGCAACCAAGCCATTCTTTGTCTGTGCATAGCTGTTCAAGTAAGCCATGGCTCCAAATGCATGTGAAGAAAAGGTGAGGATGAAATATTTCATCAAGGTGCTTTAATGGGTACTTACAAGGAACTGAAATGTGTTCGAGAGCTGTTTGACGTCTTGCAGCTGTTAGACAATAATGATTATACTCTTATTTTACAGAAACTTTTGGAGCTCAAAGTGCATGAGAATAACCTGAAGATATCTGCATTTATAAACTCCATGTATACAAATGCATATAGAAGATCAGCACTAATTTCCCAGAATTCTGGAAGTGTATAAAAATGTAAAATTTTTGACACACTGCATCTTAGGATAGGTATGCTAAATTCTGCCTGTGGCAGTTTGAACAGCTGGAACTGAATCCTCTTCTATTCAGTTTTGCTGCACTGTTCTTTTTCTGTCTTAATCTTTTTTTATTTTTTATTGTGACTTGTTTAGTAATTTTAAAATTGTAGTTTTAAATAAAGTTTTGACTTGTCTGTAAATTCGTCTTTTGAAAAATTTTCCTCTGACTTACAAAACGGTATGCAGAGTTTGTTGTTGGAAGTTAACTGACTTTAAGTGTTGGCATGCTTGTAGCAGTTTGTTACTCCTCTTCAGAGAACCACTGCTAACTTTCCTGGGACAAGAGACTCTTGTCCCACTAAGCTTTTCCATCCTACAGTATGAGGTGTAGACACAGTACATACCTACATGTTGCCTTTGTAGCCTATGTATAGCTAGTCTGTTTTTAAAAAAAAAAAAAAAAAGTGTTCATGGCCTGTGGAATTCATTTCTGTCAGCACATTTACCTGAAGTGAATACTCTGGTTGTGTAGTTAACTGAAGAAACCACCTGTATTTTTCTGCATTTTCCGGTTTGCACTTTCAATGTGCAAAGGGATAAACCTGTCTGAAAACTTTAGTATCCTTTCACACTTAAATTGAATGCTGCAATTGAAAGCCTGTAGAATGTGTTCCTAAAGTATTTGACTTTCTGAAGAGTTTTCATGTAGAAAGGGAGAAATTTAGGAAATTAATGTTTAAAAAAAACAGTTAAAGTCAGCACCTAATGAAGTCTCATGGCAAAGGTGGAATTAGGATTGTAGATTGAACCAGAAGTTTTCTTTACTTTTTCAGAACAGAGTTGCTAATAACAGTAAGTCATAAAATTGAGTTAGAAATAGCTTATTCAGCATATCAGCTGCATTATAGAGGTCCTGTTTACCTTAAAAGGCAAGGCTTTTCTCAAAGTGGTTAAAAAGCACCAAGTCATCTTAGATTCAGGAGCGTCTTCATTTTGGGGTTAGTATAATATGGCTATATGCTGTGGCAGACAGTCTAGTGACAGTGAAGCCTAAATATGCCTGAAGTTTGAATAAAATGAGAGTGTGATTCTACTGTGATTTTTTTTTTTTTTTTAGTTGTTTTGACTCTGTCCAGGTTTTATGAGTGAATTTTGAAATGGCAGATTGGAGATGAGAGGTATGATCATAAAGGCAAAAGTATATTAAAAGGTTTGAAGACAGTTTAATTACTCTGCAGGCTTTAAACTCCTGGTGATACTGCATGCAGGAAAAACCTTAGAATTTTGAGGACAGAGGGAATACATTGTGAAAATGAAACAAATGAAAGCTTTTAATCACTAACTTGACACAAGAATCATTCAGAGGACATTTTCCTAAAGTAGAATAAGAAGATTTGTGCATATTTGAGACAAGTCTAGTTTATATGGTAAATCATTTAACTCTAAGCTCAAGAAATAGCATGAGCCCACACCATTCCTGAATTCTTGCCCTGGAATGGTGTGTATGAACAATGCATTGAAATGGTATTTCTTTGGCCATACTTTCTCTCTACCCTTTTCTTCAGAGAATCACAGAATGGTTGAGGTTGGAAGGGACTGCTAGAGGTCATCTTGTCCAAACACCCTGCTCAAGCAGGACCATGCAGAGCTGGTTGCCTAGGAGGGTTTTGATCATCTCCGACATGGGAGCCTCTACACCCTCTCTGGGCAACCTGTGCCAGTGCTCAGTCACCCTTACAGTAAAAAAGTGTTTCCTAACATTCAGAGGGAAGCTCCCGTGTTTCAGTTTGTGCCCTTGTAGTCTGCTTTCATTATCCACTGCTCAAGTAGTAGAATTGCTGAAAGAAGTTAAGCTGTATCTTATATTCTGATGACAGTCCTTCTACTCCAGTAGAATGTGTTTTTCAATGGTAGTAGAGAAGATCTTGCTTAAAGTGATTACAGGAGAGTGTGTGAATGAGACATAAGAAGCAGAGTCTTCTGCTTGATACAGTGCTTGCTTCTGTACTCATCTGGACCAAAATTAATGTTACATTTTACTGTCCAATATCTATTGCACAACTCATCACTTCAGAGTCAATTCTATAGAGCCATGAGTACAAAGAATTCAGATAATTTTTAAGATGACAGTTAAGAGGCTATAGCTGGTTCTCTCCTGTAACACAATTTAGTTACAGCTCTTCCCTTAGAGGGAGGTTGCTGTATATGACCTGCCTGTCACTGTTGTGTAGTGAGTGACCTAACAAAACAATGGACTGCAGTGGTATGGAGTGAAACCAAATCACATTGGAGTTTGACTCATTTCCAGTAGTGAAAGTATCTGCTACTTCTAGGAGGAAGGTGGAATAGTTGATTTCTTTCAACAGATTGCATCATTGCTTTTGAAATTTTATTTTACTCAGTTGTATTCCATTGTAACTTGAAATGATTCATGCTCCAAAACTAGTTACAGCATTCACAAAGTCTAAGCATTAAGGCAATGGAAAATCCATAGTAATCCTGTAGTAGGTAACTGCAGTTGAAAATACTAGCATTGCAGCAGAAACAACCCAAAATTACTATTTTGCATAACAGCAAGGAGTTCAAAGAAAACTTTACCCTTCAGTGGTAAACTTTGAAGAACACAGGTTAAACTAATAAATTGTCTTATTTCAAAAGCAGCCCTCACCCATGCAGTACAAGTTTGCATAGTCATACAGTTGTATTTATTCAAAGACAGACTGGAACATTTCTTGTCCTACTTTTATATAAGTTTCTCTCTCTTCATTTGTCATGAGAGACACCAGCTCTGGATTTTCACTAACTTCACCATATGAATGAGGCTGACCAGCTACCATTACAATAGGACCTTGTGTTTCCTGTTCCTCCTCTTGTTCGAAGCTGCTGCCTGCTACTTTCATTCCTG